CAAACCAACATGCCACCCTAACGAGTCGCCTGAACAATTCTCCTTGGATTTGAAGCTCCAATCCGATCCATAGCCACCAACTCCAGTAGCTCCAGCGGAGGTTCTGCAAACATACGGATACCTCTCACACTTGTACCATCCAGGGACGCAAGCTTATCTGCCACCTTGTTCTGTTCTCTGTAAATGTGCTCATACCGGATCGCTTCCAAGCTAGCCGCTTCTCGTGCGCACAGCTTTCCAATGTTTTGGCATTGAGTCTTCCAATCGACCTTCTTTCGCAAGCCATCCACTACAAACTTAGAATCGCACTCTAGGATAATCCTCATGGCGCCATAATTCTTCGCCATCCACTACAAACTTAGAATCGCACTCTAGGATAATCCTCATGGCGCCATAATTCTTCACCATCTGCAGCCCCTTTAAAACTCCCCACGCCTCCGCAGCTTCAATGGAGCACCTCCCAATCTTGTATGAAAAGCCTCGGCACCACCTAACATCCTCATCCCGCAACACTCCCCCACAGCTCGCCATACCGCTTCGTTTGCAGCAACCATCAACACTCAGCTTCCACCAGCCTGCCATCGGCCTCTTCTAAGCCAACTGTGCGACTACAACGCAAGGCGCCCTGCTCAGCGGACGCCAGTTTTTCTCAAAAGCCCCCGCCACCTCGTTGTCGTATCTGTGCAGCCAAGATATCTTTTGTTCGACGGACAAGAGGTTCCCATTGAACAATTCGTCATTTCTCCATCGCCACAGCCACCAAAGCCGACATGCAAACCGCTCCGGCCATCCTTCTGGAAACCCACGGCTGGTATCTCCCCGAAGATTAGTCTCAAACCAATCTGGCCAGTCTAAACCGCGTAGATGATCGGTCGTTCTCCAATGCAAAGCATCCTCCCAAATTTGTTTGGTTGCTCCACAAACTCGAATGAGGTGGTGTAGGTCATCAGCTTATCCTGCACAACGAAAACAGCATATATTAGTGGTAAGATGGCGCCTAACACGTTCGCAGTTCGTGAGTATACGCTTATGTCGCACAAGCCACATGAACATAGAGACTCTCGCCGGCACACGCAACGCCCATATCAACTTCCAAATCTTGTCTGTGTCGCTATCCGGTGCTCCATCAATCATCCCATATGCAGACCTCACTGTGAAAACGCCACGTTGGTCCGGGCCCCATCCCCACTCATCAGATGCATCGTCCTCCGCCATTACAAACCCCGCCAGCTTGTCTACCTCTTCCGGGGGCAGATATTGTTCTAAGTTCTCCCATTTCCAACCCCTAGCCTGATCCTAGTACTCGGCAACATTCGAGTACAACTCAGGGAGGCTTATCGGTCGGATCATTTTGTCATACAAAGCATATGGTCTGAGCCACTTGTCCATCTAAAAGCGTGTGTTCATACCATTACGCACTATACGCATGAGGCCCTTCTCCAGCCAGTCACTCGCATTACACATGCCTCTCCATACATTTGAGATACTCCTTCTGCTAGCGATGTTCATGCACGAGTCTGGTTGACACTTGTATTTTGTCGCCAGAGTCTTCACCCAAAGGGCCCTGGATTTCGTCCTAAACCTCCAGCAAAGCTTAGTCATACACGCCATATTCATTTCATGCAGTTTCCGCAGCCCGAACCCACCATTCGCTCTCGTCGTTGTAACCAGGTCCCAATTGACTAAGCTCATCTTATTTCCTCCTGTAAGCTCATTTTTGCCCCAAATAAAACTTCTAGTTCGCTTTTCAATTTCCGTGCAAATCCCTTTCGGGAGATCTACAGTTTGCATGGTGTAGACCGGGATAGCATTCAGAACGGATTTCGCTAAGGTGACTCTTCCAGCAAGAGATAGCGTTTTGGCCTTCCACCCTTCTAGTCTGCTCGTGATGCGTTCCAACATGCCCGCGTAAGTGTTGCACATGACCCGGCCGTGAATAGATGGCACGCCTAGGTACCTTCCCATGTCTGAAATCGCATCTATACCCAACTTATGCGCAATCGCAGCAGCCACTTCTGGAGCCGTATTCTTTGAAAAATAAACCTGTGATTTACTTAGACTAATTTTCTGCCCAGATGCTACACAAAAGGAGTCCAGGCATCTTTGGACAACGTCAACTTGAGCTATCGACGCCTCAGTGAAAAGAACCATATCGTCTGCAAAGCAGAGGTGTGACAAGATAGGCCCGTCTGGGGCGAGCTGGATGCCTTTCCAGATCCTCTTGATAACCTCGGAGCAAATTAAGTGGCTAAGTCGTTCCATGCACAGAGCGAAGATGGCTGGTGACATGGCATCACCCTGGCGTATGCCTCTCTCGGGCCTGAAGTATTCGAGCCTTTCCCCGTTCCAGATTATAGCTAACCTGGACGTAGAAATACAAGTCATAATAAGTTTAACCCAACTATCATTAAAACCTGCCTGTACCAGTGTGTCCTTGCTGAAATCCCATGACAGCCTATCATAGGCCTTTTCCAGGTCCAATTTAATGGCCATGTATCCTTGCTTTCCACGCGCCTCCTTCATAGTATGCATAACTTCTTGATACACTATCACGTTATCCGTAATTTGTCTCCCTGGTTCGAATGAGTTTTGGTGCGGCCCTATAACCTGCGGCAAGATAAACTTTAATCTGTTAGCAATTGTCTTAGTCAATATCTTATAACTTACATTACATAGGCTTATAGGCCTAAATTGTTTGACCGTTTTCGGGGGACAGATTTTTTGAATAAGCGCGACAAGGGTATCATTTAAGCCCTCCGGGAGCTCGCCAGTACTAATAGCATTAGCAACCAAATTAAAGATACTATCCCCTATTGTTTCCCACGTATGTTGGTAGAACCCCGCTGGCAGACCGTCTGGGCCCGGAGCTTTAAACGGCTTCATGTCACAAACAGCCTTATGTACTTCTTCTTTGGTTGATACCCTGTTGAACACCCTCCAGTCCTTGTGCCTAATTCTCGGGAAACTTGCTTCCAAATTTAAAGACCCCGTTGCTGTTGATGTTTTAGTAAACAGAGAGATATAGAAATTCCTAACGTGCTGCCGTAGCCCTTCACCCTCCATAAGCCAGGTTCCATTCTCGTCTAGAAGCTTTGTCACCTTTGTGTGTGATTTACGGATAGTGGCAGCCGCATGGAAAAATGCCGGTGTTCCTATCCCCTGCCGTTATCCAGTCCTCTCTCGACCTTTGGAACCATAATAGCTCTTCTTGGTACAAAGTTTCCTCGAGCTCAATTTGTAGCTTCTTTTCAAGCTTGTACAAACCCCTGTGATACTTAGAGGCAAGAGTCCGTTGGATACCTCCAAGCCTGGATAGTAGCACTCTTTTTCTTTTAAAGATATTCCCTAACACTTCTTTATTCTAGTCAGACAAGTCGCGGGAAATCCTCTGTACATTGTCGGTCAACCCTCTTTCCGTGTCCCAAGTCCTTTGCACCATCGACGGCAAGTCCTGATGTGCAAGCCAAGCTGCCTGAAAACGAAAATAGATCGGGTTAGAAGCAATACCCCTTCGTCCCCCGAACAACCTTATCAGAATCGGGGTATGATCTGAAGCCACCCTCGGCAGGTGTTCCACAGAGGCATCCGGGAACCTGATGCGCCATTCGAGGTTACATAAGGCCCGGTCAAGCCGAGCCCCCTTAATAGCATCAGCCGAACCGTCTTTGACCCAAGTCAATTTGGGCCCCGAGAAGCCCAAATCAATAAGGCCTTCATCCTGTATCCAGGTAGCAAACTCCGAGCTCCTTTGGGACGAAAAAGAATTGTAATTGGTCATTTCTTCTCTTTTCATGACGGAGTTGAAATCCCCGGCGACTAGCCAGGGGCCGTGTGGGCCACGTTTTGATTAAGAAAGATCTCGCCATAGCTGGCGCCTAAGGTGGTGCGTCGGGCTTCCATAAACTGGTGCAAACACCCAAGGTGGTTGCCCATCCTGATCGACCTGTAACAAAACAAACTGTGGGTGAGTGAAGGCGATTGAGATGCGCACCGGGTCCTTCCAAAGGACCCAAATGCCCCCGCTAAAGCCAACGGCCTCCACCCGAACCCAGTCCGAGAACCCGAGTTGAGAGCAAATTCTGTTGGCTTGATCACCAGACACTTTAGGCTCAAACAATCCCAGGATGTTTGGCTTGTAAACCTGTAAAATGTGTTTAAGGGTACGACGGAACGACCTTCCATTCGCCCCCTGACAATTCCATAGCAAAAAATCCATAAAAATATAAAATAGAAAAGATGAAACATAAACACAAGCGCAGAACCGCAGAAGGTAAGGCCAAAAGCAAACAAACCAGACAACAAGCACTCACTGACCACTGGATACCCCATCACCGTTGTTTAACCCCGGGATCCCATCAAGATCCATAACCACATCCCCTTCGTCATCCAACCGTCCTGGCGGGTCACTGTGATGCTCGTTCGTAAGTTGCCAGACGGGTGACGGAAGATCGCCTGCCTCGTCCCCAACAAACACCCTTGAAGACCGAATCACCAACCCTCCCTTTTCACCCCGCAAAACCACATGCTCCTCCTCTTCAGCTGCACGTCTGAGTCCTACTCTTCCTCCCCCTCGAGCACGTGACATTGCGGCGCTGTCAAGGGGTCTGGGTTTCGCGCAGGGCTCATTGAGGATTTGCTGTTCCACTACGACCACATTTGGTCTTCTTGAGCTGGTATTCGTAGCCACGCCTGCCCCTTTCCCTCGTGATGCATCTCCTTCCACCTCAGCTCGCCCACCCATTCTTTCCTCGCCCGTAGATCCTGCCGACACCTCCCCTTCTACACCACCATTCCCGTCTTTCGCCTCTGCCAGAGGTGCGCACCGTGACATATGAGCTCGGCCATTGATCTCAGCTGGGCGCGTCTCTTCCTCCGATCGTCTTGGCCTCGCGGACTGCCAACCCCCTCCTCGCGCCCGTCGCCCCGGCGCAATCATCCATTCTCCGAATGGCGCTGCGCCAACACCGTCTCCCCACTGCCTGTTGTTCTTTGTCCGTCTCTCATCCTTCCTCCCTCCGTTGTTCCTCAGGCCTAGCCAGTTTCGGGCATGCATCCGGATCATGGCCATAAATACCGCATGCGAAGCACACCATGTGAATGCCTTCATACTCTACCGACCTGGTACGACCCTTGTAATTAAACTTGGAAATCAGAGGCTTTGTAATATCCACTTCCACACAAATTCGCGTAAACATTCCTCGTGATACTGCACTCGTCGCTCGATCAACACGTAACGTTCGTCCCACCTTGTTGCCCAATTTCCTGAGAAAGATCAAACTATAGTATTCAGTAGGTAAGCAGGGTATTCTAATCCATACCAGGACTTTTTCCGTGACGTCCGAGAAGGGATCAAAATCTGGAACCCAAGGTTTCACTATGAGATAGTGATCCAAGACCATCCACGGGCCTTCAAACATAGCGAACTCCAGATCTTCAACTGCTCCAAACCTCACGATGAAATACCCGTTATCTATGGCGATGAGATCCATCTTCCCCTTCGGCTTCCACATTGACGTGAGTCGACGTAGCAAGTAGGCGTATCCTACGGATCTGCTCATCACCTTCACGATGATCGCTAACCTCCAAGGTGCCCGTATTTCCTCCAGCTCCGCCTTCGTCAATCGGATCGTCGGGCAGAATGGATCATCATCATCCTCATCCGATAGGATTTCCTGTTCGTCGTCTTCCAGTTCCCTTTCCGATCGCGAAGTCTGCTCTACATGGCCAGCCACAGTCGCAGCATAAGATCTCCTAGCTGTCTCCGGTACCTGCGACACAACAGGGGACGTTACCTGGACAGAAGAGTCAAGGCTATTCGTTACCTGTAGCGGAGTCACACTTGTCGCCAACAGAACATCCATCGGTGTCTCCTGTACAAACGACACCGCGTCCGACACAACATTCGCCATCTGGTCTGCCTTTATTCGTTCGTCCGTCTTGTCTTTCTTCGTACTACGTTCCAAAAGATCACGATCTTCCTCCGATCTTGGGCTAGAGAGCGTTTCCCCGTTGGTTTCCATATTATTATTTGTTCATGGAGTATCATACTAAGATAGTTTCAAATATATCCTTTAGTAAATACACTCTCACCCTCAAAACAATATTTCTTTTATAATACTGGAGGAATCTCATATCAATCTCAATCATTCTCAATCTTTCTCAATCATTCTCTTCAAGTAACCTTCCGGAAATTCTCAACCGAATCTCATCTCATCATTTCATTCCATCATTTATGTCAAAGGGCCTGTAGTCAAATCGGGTTCCTCCAAAAATATAGATTTTTCTCACTTATGAAAATAGCGGTGACATAAACATTTGAAAACCTTTCTTTTCCAAAATAAGGATTATATATGTATCGTATATGCTTTTCAAGAGTATATGTAAGTATATATATATATATATATATATATATAAATATATATATATATATATATATATATATATATATATATATAAATAGGTATATAGCTCTTAGTATAAAAACATAGGTTTAGGTATAAAAGAATGGTAATTCATGAATAAATAAATTGAGCACTTAAACAAATCCTTCAAACTCATATACCACTTTATTAAGTTAACATGATTTTAGAAAGTTAACATCTTAAACAATTTTCCAAAGCGTAACAACATCTACTAAAACTAAAAAGAGAAATGTCAGCCAAAGGAATTGATCTTAAACTCTCTCGTATAAATTATAGTTCTCAAACCAATGAGCTATAATAAACCCTAATAATGAAACTCATCACTAATAAAGACAATATAACTAATTAAATTATTTCTCTTATTTAATTTATTGATAATGAATAATTTTTTTTTGAATAAAGACATTGTAGACACATATTTCAAAATTAAAGAAATGCATATGTATTATTTTTTGTTGTAGCTACTAAATTATTATTTAATTTAATAAGAGTAAAATAGAGTACTAATTAAGCCAACTTTGATTGGGATGAAGTTCGAACCTAAGAAATTTCTTATTGAAATCAATGAGTAAGTTAACGGTGAACTAACAGAAATTAACGGAAAAGATAATATTTAACGGAAAAGTTAACGGATAATCATATTCATTAAGGATAAATTAGGAAATCTTAAGGAAAAATTAAAATCTGATCAATCTGAGCCATTCTTTTGATTAAAAAATTTGACCGCCATTTTTTCTACCCATTATAGGCTTAACTCTCTTGGGCTCTTATTAGTATATATATATATATATATATATATATATATATATATATATACTAGTTTTTTACGTGCATTGCGCGATTGAGATAATTTCCAATATTTTTATTTTTTTAAATAAGTACTTTGAAGTATATATCAATGCAAGATTATATTGGAATTGTTCATGTATAGATAATTGGATGTTAAATTTGCGTATTTAAATATGCAATTCTAAGTTTACAAATGCAAGATAATATAGTCAATGTTGGTTTTAGGGTTTTTGGGCCAGGGAGGTCCAACACAACCGTGGTTGGTGGGTTCACCGTTCACATGCGGCTTATAGAAAAATAAGTAGAACAAAGTATAACTCAATGCTTTTGTACGTGGAAACCGAAAGGTGAAAACCACGGGCCTTTTTGGGCGGTGCCAAGCCAAGACTTTCACTATTCTTGTAGCCATTGGGACATAATATATGGCTATTTTGTACATGTAATATGGAAATATTGTGTAGGGAGAGAGCTATACTTTGTACATTGAGAGATAGAGTCTTCTTGACCTTCTTTGTTGAAAGAGTGGTAGAGTCTTCTCTTGTGATGAATGGATAATGCATCTTCTAGTAGGGAAGAGTGATGGAGTCTTCTCTTGTGCATGGTGGAATAGTGAGTGGTCTTCTTGGGATGAAAGAATAGTGGGTGGTAGGATAGTACTTGGGAGAGTCCTCCCACATGTAGATGAATGAGTGACCCCTTCCTCGTGCTCTTCTTCTCCTTCTTATAGCTAGCCAACCAAATAGTGTCCGTTGGACCATTTAGTATGGTATTGATGGGTAGTAAGTGGGGTAACAAATGGTAGGTTATGATGAGGTAAGTAAATATGTGTTTTAATAGGACTTTAAGGGTAGATAATTAGGGGGGTTAGGAATTGAGGGGTAATAATTAGGAGTTTAATATGGGCTAACGGTTAGTTTAGGCCGACCTTCTACCCGTGCTCACGGGGTTCACACTCCATCAACTAGTCCCTCACTTTTCAATATTGAGCCCTCTCTTAGCTCGAATATTGGAAAGTATCCGCCTTCTTAATACAAATGGCTTAAATCACTCCTCAATCTCCTCTTTTCAATAGTCGGATCACGGCCGGATTTCCTGTGATTTCCTTGATTCTATCCTCTTGACTTCTTTTTGCTTGCTATACGACTGACTGCTTCAGTGGAGGTGACCCTCTGACTTCGAACCCCTTTTTCCTTATCCATCAAATTGACTCTCGGCTGTCACTTTTCTTTCCCTAATAAACCTCTAAGGGTTTGGACCCTAGATTCTCACTTTATTCGCCGAGTCCCTTAGTCGAGGCGACCTTCGGTGATAGCTTCTTTTTTCTCTAAGAAATGCCTAGGGTCGGAACCCTGGTTTCTTTTATCTTTTTCTCTAAGAAATGTCTAAGGGTCGGTGCCCTTGTTTTCTCCTTTTCTTGCCGAGCACCTCAGTCGAGGCGACCCTTTAGGCTTTTTCTTGGAAACGTCTAAGGGTCAGTGCCCTTGTTTCCTTCTTTTCTCGCCGAGTCCCTCAGTCGAGGCGACCCTTTATGCCTTTTCTATCTCAGAAACAGTTTAGGGTCAGTGCCCCGTCGTTTCTCTCTTTTCTTGCCGAGTCCCTCAGTTGAGGCAACCCCTGTAGGCTTTTTCTCGGAAACGTCTAAGGGTCAGTGCCCATGTTTCCTTCTTTTCTCGCCGAGTTCCTCAGTCGAGGCGACCCTTTAGGCTTTTTCTATCTCAGAAACAGTTTAGGGTCAGTGCCCCGTCGTTTCTCTCTTTTCTTGCCGAGTCCCTCAGTCGAGGCAACCCCTGTAGGCTTTTTCTCGGAAACGTCTAAGAGTCAGTGCCCTTGTTTCCTTCTTTTCTCGCAGAGTCCCTCAGTCGAGGCGACCCTTTAGGCTTTTTCTATCTCAGAAACAGTTTAGGGTCAGTGCCCCGTCGTTTCTCTCTTTTCTTGCCGAGTCCCTCAGTCGAGGCAACCCCTGTAGGCTTTTTCTCGGAAACGTCTTAGGGTCAATGCCCTTGTTTCCTTCTTTTCTCGCCGAGTCCCTCAGTCGAGGCGACCCTTTAGGCTTTTTCTATCTCAGAAACAGTTTAGGGTCAGTGCCCTATCGTTTCTCTCTTTTCTTGCCGAGTCCCTCAGTCGAGGTGACTCCTTTGACTTTTCCTAAGAAACGTCTAAGGGTCCTGGCCCTTGTTTCTTGTATTTCTTCTCTGGCCGAGTCCCTTAGTCGAGGCGATTCCTAGTTGTGATTTTTCTTTTTCTAGTAAACTTCTAAGGGCTTTGACCCTTGATTCTCGCTTTTATTAACTCGAGTCCTTTAGTCGAGGTTACTTTCAGTTGTAGCTTTTCTTTTTCTTCCCTTCATATAGCTCCTTGTAGATGAGAAATTCCATGAGCAAGTGAATTTTGGAATGCATTTCCTCGCCACGCCCAGAATATGTTCAAGTTTCCTCTAGGTTGTACAGCACATGTGACTGGAAACTAAGCTCGCCATATGCAGAAAAAATCCTTCCTCCGAACTCCCATAAGGGATAATACCCGATCCGACTCTTGGAGTCGGCCTTGAAGCGCCTTAGTATTTCCCACTAAGCTTCAAGAATTTCAAAGTCATGTTTTTATGAGAAAAAATATTAATGTTGGGGCGACCTTGAAGCGCCTTAGTATTTCCCACCAAGCTTCAAGAATTTCGAAGCCATGTTTTTATGAGAAAAAATATTAATATTGGAGCGAGAAGAATTGAACCCTAACCTCCTTATTTTCTTCCATGGCTTTTACCAATCCTACACAATTAAATTTTTGAATCTCTACAGCATTGAATTTAACGTATGCCAAGATTGTGCCTTTAAGACAACCCTGAGCAAGTTACAAGATGTGCCGTACTTCGGGATTTTGTCCATCAAATAGCTCCGGCTTTAAGATCGTCATCATCAGTGTCATGCACGCCCATTCTGAAAATATGCTCTAGAATGGCAAGTGCAAATTACCATAGTTTCAAGATTCAAATATCCTTGTAAAAATAACCTTCTATAAAAATGTTTAGAAGCCATCCTTCACCACGCGTGGCCTTCGACCGTGGGAGCAAGACTCGCCCACACCGGCCTCGGGGAGATGTTTCATCCTTCACCTTGTATTTGGCCTATTTGTTTTTGCGAAAACGTGCTCAGAATGATTTTTGTTTTGGGCAGAAACATTTAATGACGAGTGCTAGCCACATGCAATACTATTTTCCTCTTCCTGTGAGATTCAAAACCTTTATGCCTCATGCGAAACTTCCAATATCTTGTCTTTACAGATAGTTAAAAAAAATGGCAAATAAAGCTGCATGCCTACCAAATGTGCTTCCCCCGAGTTCTTTCATTTCCCTTTATTGCCATGTATACATTCTTTCTTTAACAGGTTATGGAGCTTGCTGTTGTTGATTTCAAAATGAACACCAGAGGAGGTCATCGGTTGTGGCAGGGCTGTCCATGGCCGGCGGTTGCTCGGCGATCGCTTGGGGATGTGTCTGCATACTATGTGAGCGGCCGTGGCCCACGAGTAGCTGTGACGGTGGCTTCCGTTCCAACCGCAAACCTTCTCCTAAGTCCACCAAATGGACTGCCGAGCCCTATACTTCCCAACACCGCATCCGAGTCCGACTCGGGAAGAGTCAGAAAAAGAGAGCAATATCCGAGTCCAACTCCATGGCTGCCTACACACTTGCCGACTACAGATCGACTCGGACTACTCTTTCATCACAACGGCGAGGGAAGAGTTTCCAGAATGCCTCGCCACAAGGCGAAGTATCCGTGCAAAGAAGGGGCCGAGTCCAAGGTCATCGTTCACCT